TCGTTTTCCGTCTTGAAGTGAAAAATGCAATTCAAAAATTTCTCTCAATAACGGATATTTCAAACACATCTTTTCTGTAACTTTTACTTATCAATAAGGATTCATAACGTGCATTGTTGCTACTAACCAAATATGTACAGTTTGACTATTTTTTCTAACGGAATTTCTAAACTGAAAAATGAAGACTCATCATGCAAAAGTTCAAGGAAGTTGAGTATATTTCTAGATGGAAATTATATTTTGAGAGTAATTATTTGCTTAACTATGACTCCTCCTATCTCATTACCTTGATAATGAAAACTTACAGAATTTATTATTAATGATGCTCATGATGAGTACTTCTATCCTGGTCCACAGATACTGTATTTTTCATCAGCACTTTTGGATCTTGTCGGCCCGACAAGCTATTCACAGTATCATATCGAAATGTTTGAAGTGCTGGCGTTCAAACTCAAACTCAGATAATCATGGGTTATCTACCTTCCAAACTAATAATCCAAATCAATATGTGTGATTGATGACTTGTTTACCTTATGGTAATTCATGATCACACTGGTGAATTTAATTTATATGACCGGTTTCGGGTTTGAAGTATGAAACCGAAATCTGCATTTTGGAATATTGATTTTATTAAAATTTTCAGGTTTGCTGTAAGGACAAACCTTTGTCACTCCACAAAGGCCACACATATTGAATCAGTTGCTCAGAAATATTTTCTGGCAATGCAACAAATTTCGTCGGCTTTAATAAATGTTTGAAGACTGTTAAGAGAAAGGCTTTCGCTTAATAAAAAATAAAATTCACCTTCTATCCACCTATATGGTTCTCATTTTGCCGGTTTAGCCAAAGCAGGTATAAAATCAATTGAATCCCATTCATCTCACGTTTTTGGTAACCAAATACTGAGCTATGAACAACTAGTACAAATAGAATCGATATTACATTCTCTGCCTTTGTGTACAATGAGCACAGACCCTATCGACCTGGTCATTACTCAACATTTCCCTGGTCATTACTCAACATTCTCCTGGTCATTACTCAACACTTGAACCCTTAACCGCAATTTCTGATCCTGATACGTCTCATCTGAAAATGGGCAGACTTGACGTTTTTCAGCTTCTTTCACAGTTACCGTCACCTTTTTGGTAGATACAGCATCAGAAGTACCTCGAAAGTGCCTCCTACAAATTTCGTCGGCTCAAATAAACATTTTTGAACTATCAAGAAGGAGGCTTTCGCTGAAGGAAAATTAAAATTTACTTTTCATCCACCTTATGGTTCTCATTTTGCTTGTTTAACCAAAGCTCGCGTCATTAGCTCGCGTCATTGGTAACCAAATACTGAGCTATGAAGAACTAGTACAAATATAATCGATATTAAATTCTTAGCCTTTGTGTACAATGAGCACAGACCCTAACGACCTGGTCATTATTCAACACTTCCCTGGTCATAACTCAACACTTAAACCCCTAACCGCAATTTCTGATCCTGATACGTCTCATCTGGAAATGAGCAGGTTTGACGGTTTGACCGTTTTCAGCTTCTTTCACAGTTGCCTTCACTTTTTTGGTAGATGTGGCATTGGAAGTACCTCCATATTCTTCATCATAAAGAAAAATTGATGCTTCCAGGAATAACACTTAAACAAGGTGCATTAGTGATCATCAAAGAGGATATTGTTCCGTCATCAAAAATGGATCTAGACAGAATATTAAAATTTATCCCAGACCATGATGAATTATTAATTAAACATTTCAATTCTGTTGGTTTCATTTTGTACAGTTTGTACAATTTTCATTTTGCTGAACTGATATTTATCAAAACTAATGGGGAGTACGTTCGGCATTCACCCTTCAATTCATCATATGTGAGTTTAGGTTATGTAATTATTGTAATCGTCATCAGTGTCATCATTGGCGATACCGGCCTCATGCGCTTGCACAAAAGTCTGAGGTCATTGTAGAATTAGCCGCGGTGGTAGTGCGCCCGACTCACGATCGGAAGATCGTGGGTTCGATTCCCGCCTCGACCAGATATTTTTCGAGAGAATTTATCTGGTTGAAGCTGGAATGATTCTGCAACCGTGTTATGAATCACACGTTAAAAAGGTAAGACCTCATTAGTCCTTAGCTCGCACAAGTTCTCAACAGATTTTAAACAGATTTTTAAACAGATTCGAAAGTAAAACGACGAGATAGTAAGATCAAGAGTGAATCACTTGATATTTCAAAGGGAGCATAAAAAAACCGCTTAATCAACATCCTTCATACTTCTCCATGGAGATCGTTCCCGGGGTACTCTACAATCGAAGAACAGAAAATGTATCAACCAAAAGGCAAGGAGAATTTTCTTAGAAACAAAAATTAGGTTATCTTTTCTTTTCAAATGTTCAACATGCGGCTTACGTATGGTAATTATAGTAATTAGTCCTTATCGTACAAAACGAAAGACAGAATAACTCATAGCACATAACTCATTAAAATTATTTGCATCATTTATCATTGATAAGTACCTACCTCGTATAAAACCATTGTTGCGTTGCAAGTTTTGAGTTGAGTTTGAAAACGCCCCAGTTACCACACTTTACGAACACATGTACTCATTTCTAATCGACCTTCATGTTGAACGAATAAGTGATTGTTGAAAAAATTACAGCAATGTGAAAACTAGCTAGCAACCTATAGAATCATGAACTTGTATACAAGAAGAGAACGGAAAAAGAATCCTCGAGAAAACGCAAATTTTTTCTCAATTGTTACATTCACGTGAGTGTTTAGATATAAGAGATGGGAAAATTTTGTTATGGTATGTATTGAATGAGGTTTTCTTTTGGCGTCTTCATGAACAGGGATCAACATCCCGTGCTTTTATAATATTATCAAATGTTGGGACCTTCAAGAGTGTTCAAATGTGGATTTTTCTCAAGTGACCCTGAAGAAAATTCATAAAACAAATTTCTATGTTTTCTGTTAATTTCCTTCACTGAAAAAATGTTTTGAGAATTTGAACTGAAATCAATAATTAAGGTAACCTCATTATAATTCTGGTGATTCACATTAAAACTGAAAATAACCTCTCCTGAATAGACACCCCCTTCAATTCAATTCAGGTGGTTCTGAATACGATTGAAGAATATATTATCTTGAGGAAATCTACTGTCCAAGAAAACAAAGCAGTAGAGACAAACGAACAGACAGAAAATCCAAATTAGTTTTTACATAAAACTTCATTGATGCAAAATTGAGTTGTTCCGACGTTGAACTTTGAAGTAGTTAACTGACTGCATACAATCCTTCAATTGTTTATACCATCAGTGATTCAGTGAATTCCAATAACAGTGAATATTAGTTCTGGGTATCTCAAAAGAGACTTATGAAATCTGACAATTGATAACCACCACATTGCTGAAGCTACATCTGTCAGATTAACTGTTATTTATTCAGTCTATTTTGCCAAATCACCCCGTGCAAATAATAGAATTGTTTCATCAAAATGGGTGTTCTGTTCGAACATCGTACCGCGCGCTTCGGCCATTTGACGGGCGCCATAACCGTCCTACCGTGAGGACTTCTCGTAATGTGGTGGATGAACTTGAGACCACTGGTTCAGTAAACGATAGAGTAACACCTGTACGTTAACAAAACGCAATAACTGACAAAAAATAAGGCAGCTGTCTGCGAGAGTGTGCAGGAGAATCCGAGACAGTCGATTTCGCGTCGCTCACAAGGACTCCATCTGCCGCAGACCACAACTTGGCAAATTTTGGGCCTGCACCCATATAGAATGCAACTGACCCAGGAACTGAAGGTAAACGACAATAGACAACGACGTGTTTTTGCTGAATGGGCTCTGGAGCAGTTGACAACTGACCTTAACTCCCATCGAAAAATCATTTCCAGCTATGAGGCCCATTCTGGATGAATGAGTACGTGATCAGACAAAATTGTCGAATTTGGGACGATTCCTATCCACATGAGATTCCAGAGCGTTCATTACATCCTGAAAAAGTCACTGTTCGGTGTAGACTTTGGGCTGGCTGTCCCTATTTCTTTGAGGATGACGTTGGCCAGGCTATCACTGACAATAGCGGTCACTATAGGTCAATGACCACCAACTTCTTTTGGCCTGAATTTTATAATCTGGACATCTACGACATGTGGTTTCAACAGGACGGCATTTCGTGCCACACAGCTCATGCCACAATCGTGCCACATTGGATATCCTGCACGAGCGATTTGAGGGCATGATAACCTCACATGGAGGTGCTGTGAACTAGCCACCGAGATCAAGCGATTTGACCCCGTCAGACTTTTTAGAGCATCCTCTACCACACATCATATGTCGAAGATGTCGCGCCCATTACCCGTATAGGTGCGGGATAGGGCGGTTCATCAACAACTTTTGGGTGTACGCCGTGTGGTCTGCACCGCATATCCTTACGTTACCCCGAGGGGCACTCATGTTAGGAAAGTTACCTTTCCAGCGTTGGATGAGTAACCGCCGAGGGCTCTTGCGAGACACCTCTCCCACACATCTAGCTTGAAATCGGCCAACGCCTGTTACCCGCAGGCGCGGGATTGGGTGGTTGACCGATAAATTTATTGGGTGAGTGCCGTGTGGTCTGCAGCGGGGGACTGTCATCATTTACCACAGTGAAATTTTGGGGAGCTGAATTTAAACGTGGCCGTTAGAGCTTGGGAGACAATTAACGTTCATGATGAATTTCATCAGTTCGGAATTCTATTGTCTGATATTATGTAAAATGATTTGAAATTCGTGAAATAACTAAAAATTGAAAAGGAATAGTCGAAAATAACAAGAAATTGAAGGATGTAGCAGTTACTATGTGGTAGGAAATTCTTCATTGGAAATAACAAATGTTACAACTATATTGAGCAAAAAAACCGAAAATGAAATGACAGTGAAATAAAATACAAGTAAAAATAGAACAACTGAACAGAACATGAAAATGAAAATTAAGAGATTTCAAGCCAACTTACTTCATGATGTTTCGATTGTTAGTATCTACAATCGTCTTCGGGTGATGACTGGGCTGATTCCTTCGAGAGATGACTATTTATGGGTCATTCGAGTACTTTCACTCATCTCCGCTTTCCTTTTTCTGCTTCACCGGTTTAGTGGGAGATGACCGTTTGGCGGGAGTTGGCCATTTTTTGCTTGATTATGGGTTTCCATATTCAGTTTGGCTGAATATATTGTTGGATGATATGTATGCGGCTTCTTCTAATTTTCTCCTGAACCAATGTACTTTCCTGTGTATGTTCTCTGCTTGGGACCATTCGATGTTATGTTGATAGGTTCAAACATGCTCTTTTATTCCTGATTTGCTGGTTTCCCCTCGCTTTGTGTGTTTCTTGTGCTCGGCAATGCGAATATTCAATGGCCTCTCAGTTTCACCGATATAGGATTCTCCGCACTCACAGGGTATCCAGTAAATGCAATTCTTGGAATCGCAGTCCACGTTTCGTGTCCTGGTTTTTGTGAGGCTGTTACGGATAGTGTTTCCGGATCTGAAGCAGGTTCTGATGTTGTACTTGGACCCAATTCTTCTCATCCTTTCCGATAATCCTCTGATGTCTAGTTCCATCTTAAGACCTTCCTTCGTATAACAGAGATCGAGAGCACGGTCTAGTAAAGTATAGATTATTCCTCTTTCAGTCGATTGATGGTGGTTGGATTCGTGGTTTAGATAATGTTGGGAACGTTCAAAATTTGCAACTGCTGATGAAAACATCTCCCAATCTCATCAAATGTGCTAGACAACCACCGAATTGAAGTGAGAGAAATGGAAAAGATAATGAACATATGTCACATATTGAATCAACATTCAGGCATAAGAAAGTTATTTGCGCGTTGGATGCCGCGTTTACTCACGTTAGACCGAGAATTTGTTCGTATGAACATTTTTAACGCTTTTCTGGTGTAGTTTAGGCGCAGTAAATTTGAGTTTTGTCTCCGATAAATGACTGTTGATAAAACTAGGATATTCATACTATTATACGTCTGAAACAAAATTACGAACATTTGTTCAGACCTTCATTTTCTAATATGATATAATATGATTCAAAATCCCTGAGAGAACAGATAAAATGGAAAATTAAAATGGATAGCTGAGAATAGCAATTATTTCATGGAAAAAAACTGAAATGAAATTGCAATTGAATAAAAATCAAGCAAAAATTGAACAATCGAAATTGAATGAAATTACAAGATTTCAAGCCAAGTCACTTCACGACGTTTCGATTATTGGTGTCCACTATGGGAAAACAGAACTAGACATCTTTCTGAAGCACATCAACAGCGTGAAACCTTTCATCACCTCCACAATGAAGAAGAGAGTCCACAACGATTTCCATTCTTGGACTTATT